AAACAATTATACGAATCAGAAGAGGAACCTCCACATAATTTTATGGAAAGCGTTAACATCATTAACACAGAAAGAAAAACCGGTTTCTAAAATCAAGAGTATCGTACATTCGAATCGAACCCCCCCCCCCCTTCCAGAAGAGAGTACAAATCGTACACATTGTCATGTAGTAACAGAGTTGCTGTTTGCGGCAGATCGTCTCGTTCACAGCACAACTTCTTTCTCGCTCTAGGTAAAATGACAGGAATACACGGCCAACTAACAAAACTGGGATATTGGTTATTGTTGGGGGGAGGGGGGGGGGGTTCTTCTTGAATGATTCAGCGTATTCCTTATTGTAGGCGTTTTAACGCCCCTATCGATACATTTCAGATCATTTGGGAGGCTGTCTTCGACCTAGCCTGCAAAAGCCAACCCGGACTGAGAAGGATACGTGTATAACATCTGACCGAGAAAAAAGACCAAGATACACGACAGGGCACTCTATCCTTGGTGCCATTTATTGGTTAGAAAACTGGACTCGCAATAGTGATATAATGGGTTCGGGGGTTCGAGGCTCAGATCGGTCTGGCGTTGTGTCCAGGGGAAAAGCACTTTACACAAACGAATTTTCCAGTTTGGGTCGGACCCTAGGCTATCTGAGTTACTAAGATAGCCTAGGTCGGTGAAAATGGAGTAACGTCCAAGTCCGAAAAGACTGAGCCAAGAGGAAAATTCGTGTAAAGTGCCTTTCCCAAGGATAGAATGTCGGACCGAGCTGAGGCTCGAACCCCCGAACCCGAAATCTCACTATTACGAGTCTGGCAGCCTAACCACGAGGCTACCGACGCCAAGTTGACGTTGTGTCCTTGGGAACAGTCCTTTACATAAATTGTTCAGTTTGGGTCGGGCCCTATCGGGGACGAAAGTTGAATTTGGATATCTTACCTCTAAAATACCGATATCACCTTTAACAGTGTTGCAAGGGGGGCGTTCATTCATCATTCGCCTCTTTCAAGCTCGTATTTGGATAGTATAGGGCAGCAACGGGCGTTACACTTCTACACAATTCCACACATTTCGCGGTTTGTCCTTCTGCCCTTCCCAAGGCCAGGCCTGGCCAGTCCAGACAAAAGTAGCCACAGACCACAACACAGCAGTCAGAAAAAACCACACCGGCACGGTGTCTTCGCTCTACGGTACAGGTACTTTACTTATTTAGGGAGTCGGGGCTGCACGATTGGGACGGAGCGGAAAGTCGAACTCGCCGGTGGAAGTCGACTTGAATCACCTCTGAGCTCTACATGAATTGCCCCTTCCCCCCTTTCCGTACATCCGACCCCGCACAAGAGAATACAAATTGTACACATGTAGTAACTGAGAGTTGCAGTTTGAGCAACACACACACACACACACACACACACACACACACACACACACACACACACACACACACACACACCAACCATCCATCCACTTAGTTTTAGTA